GCCACGGGGCTTCTCTTGGCCCACAAACTTAGCAGAGTTTGTGACTGACCATTCAAAGTCCTGGGTCTTGGACTGTGATGTGTCTGGGGGAAGTGTTCTTTCTTATCTTTCTGTGGCAGTGGGGAAGGAAGAAAAGAGTGTGGACTCGAGGGATCCTTGATAGAATGAAATGCTGTGACCTCACACTGGCTCAGCAGGGTGGGTTACTTGGCACCTGACCCCATTCCTCAATTTGGGGACTATGCAGTCCTGCTAACCCATGGACTTTCCTACATTTGTCCACTGGACCCTGGCCTTCTTGTGAGGGTTATTTTTGAGCTGTGGTCCTTGCTTGCAAAGGTTTCAGGTGATTCTTCCCATACACTGGCTTCTGGCCTACCACTGGTTGTGGGTGGCAGGAGCTGCTGGCTTCCTCGTGGCCTCTCTGCTGGACAGCCCAGTATTCCCCTGCAGGCAGGGTCAGTTTGGAGGTCTTCTCCGTGGTTCCCAGGTCTTGGGACATTCACTCCACTCCTACCTCTCATCTCCAGAAACAGCCTACTTATGGAATGGGCAGCAGTTCTGGTGGCTGTCTCTCAGGAGTCCTGATCTGTTTGGTTGTGTTATGGATTCCAGTATTAAAGCTGCCTCCTATGGCTCTGGCTCTGTGGTCCAAGGACAGCAGGACCCAGTGCTTTCTTCTTCTAGGTGCCTGTAAGAAAGGGAACTCAAAGCAACCACGATTGCTCAGAGCTATCCTGAGCTGTGTGCAAACCCCACCACCCTGCTGACCTCTGCCCTAGAGTCTTTCTAGTGCCCAGCTGGGCTGGCACAGTACTAAGAGATGATGGGACTCCTGCCAAGCACCTGTTTCCACTGAATGATATTTAACCTGCAGGGATTGGCCCTTTCAAGGGCCAGGATCCTAGAGCCCAGGGATGCTGCAGTTTCCCATGATAACAGGGAACTGCCTTAATGGAACTGACCATTCAAGGTTCTGGGTCTTAGGTTGTGAAGCATCTGGGGCAGTTTCTTATCTTTCCTCTATGGCAGTGAAAAGAAGAAGAAAAAAGTGGATCAAAGGACCCTTGATGGGAAGAATGGTGCTGATGGTGAAATTTCTGTGACCTCAAACTTGGGTCCAACCTTTAGGTTGGGGTTCCAGAGACACCTTCAGGCTGGACTCTGCCACTCTCCCACAGCATTTTTGTGGCACTGGATCTCCCCTGTTGTGCACATGTCCAACATCTGTCTCCCTTTGTTCCCAAGTGGGGGGTCCCACAGGGGACTCTGAACAGGCTGTACCTCGATTCTGGCAATAAAAGTATTCTGAATGCTGTAAGCTGCCCTGGGCTTCTCTGAGCATGAGGGGCGGGAGGTGGTGGAGGTCTAAGAGTGCTGGAGAGGTCGGTAATCAGGGCTGCACTGGGGTCTCAGCACTGGAACTCCGTCCTTGTCTACCTCCTTGGGCTTCATCCTCCTGGTCCAGTTTTTATTTGGGGGAAGAACTGAAATCTGGACCATCTCCCTTCTTGGTCAGCAGGTTCTACATACTTCAGAGGTGAGGTAAAGACAGTTCTGAAGGTCACCCTGGTTAGGCTTCCTAGCGCCTTCCCTCTCCAAGCTTACAAGTCTCTGAACCTAGAGTTTCCTTTTTCTTTCATTCTCTGTGTGTGTGTGTGTGTGTGTGTGTGTGTGCATGTGCATATGTGCGCGCGCTTGTGCATGCATGCATTCTGGTACTAGGAACTGGAACTTGGGGCTGAATGTTCTGAGTTTTTCCCTTTCAAAACTTGCATTCTATCATTTAGTCCCCTTTCAAAACTTGCATTCTATCATTTAGTCAGTTGTGGGGCTTGAACTCAGGACCTAGGTGCTGACCCTGACCTCTCATTAAAGGCTAGCTAGCACTCTTTGGGCCATGACTCCACTTCTGGTTTTCTGGTGGTTTATTGGAGATAAGAGTCTCATGGACTTTCCTGCCTAGGCTGGCTTTGAACCAAGGTCCTCAGATCTCAGCCTCCTAAGTAGCTAGGATTATAAGTGAGAGCTACCAGTAACTGGCCAGCCCCCACTCCCTTCTTTGTTATTATAAAGGTGAAGTACAGAGGAGTTAGTTACTTAAGTCAGGTAAAGAGAACATTTCTTTCTTTTTGTTGGTTGTAGGGCTTGAACTTAGAGCCTGAACTCTATCCCTGAGCTTTTTTTGCTCAAGGCTAGTGCTCTACCACTTTGAGCCACAGCACCACTTCCAGTTTTCTGGTGGTTCATTGGAGATAAAGTCTCATGGACTTTCCTGTCCAGGCTGGCTTCAAACTGTGATCCTTAGATCTCAGCCTCCTTACTGGCATGAGTCACTGACACCCAGCTTAAACCTAGAGTTTCTTTTCTTTTGTGCTAGTCATGGGGCTTGAACTCTGAGCCTAGGTCTGTCCCTGAGCTTTTGTGCTCAAAGATACTCTACCACTTGAGCTACAGTTCCACTTCTGGCTTGTTTGGTGTTTAACGGAGATAAGAGTCTCACAGACTTTCTTGCCTTGGGCTGGCTTTGAGCCATGATCCTCAGATTTCGGCCTTCTGAGTAGCTGAGATTGTGGGCACGGGCCATCGGTGCATGGCTAGAGCTTCTTTAAGATGTCACTGACTTGGAATTTTCACTTCATCTGCCTGCTACATGGCCTTCTTTGGGAAAGAATGTGGGAGAGGAAGAGACTACTCTGAAACTGATTTGGGCAGAGATAGAGAGCAGAGACCGCGACCAAAATATGGTACAATTGAAGATGGGCAAAGAGAGTCAGACAAGGTTGTATGCACAGGGATGGGGTCCCAGTAGGAAATTTGTAAGCCAGCCTGGCGGTAGGAACCCTGACTCCTGTCCTCCCATTGAGCCTGCCAGTCTGGACTCCAGACTTTAATTCAACATTGGCCACTAGAGGGCACCCTAAATCTTCCTACTGCCCCTGCTACAATGATGTGGTTAGGCTATACTTGGAAGAAATAGCCACGAGAAAGGGAGTCAGTCATGTGAGGCTGGTAGACACAAGTTTAGGCCCAGCTCTGGCCTCAGTGAAAGGAGGACAACACGAAGAGAAGTCTCATACTCGGACCTTGCCAGCCTGATACCCACTCATGCCAACGCTTGTGACACGGACGCTACCTGCCTGTTTCAGTCGCACTGCCACTTTCAGTTTCACAGGCGCAGAGTGTGGAGTCAGCAAACTTTAAGATCAGCAGACTTGTGTTCAAATCTTTGTTCTACCAGCTCCAACAAATAGCTTGGGATATGCCCTTGATCCCCCTGAGCCTCACTCCCCTCATCTGAAGATTGAGGACAAAGAAATGTGATCTGAAGGATGGTCCTGAAGAGCAAACACTGATGGTTATTGGGGGAACATCTGATTTAGTAATGTTTCACACATGGTGGATTTTCAGCTGATTGACTGATTTAACTATGAGATTGTAAAGAAACCTGGGAAGCTAGCGGCTGGTGGCTTACACCTGTAATCATAGCTACTCAGGAGACAGATCTGAAGATCATGGTTTGAAGCCAGTCCAGGCAGAAAAGTCTGTGAGACTCTTATCGCCAATATACTAAAAAAAAAAAAAAAAAAGCCAGATGTGGAGCTGTGGCTCATGTGGTAGGGTGCTAGTCTTAGCAAAAGAAACTCAAAATCAGTGCCCAGGCCCTGAGTTCAAGACCCACTATGGGCTAAAAAAAAAAATCTGGGGACCAGCAGGTTTTTTGTTTTTGTTTTTTGGTGCTGGTACAGGGCTTGAACTCTGGGCCTGGGTACCATCCCTTAGCTCTTTTGTTCATCAAGGCTGGTGCTTTTACTATTTGAGTCACAGCTTTACTTCCAGCTTGTGCTGGTTAACTGGAAATAAGTGTCTCATGGATTTTCCTGCCTGGACTAACTTCTGACCACCATCCCCAGATCTCAGCCTTCTGGGTAGCTAGGATTATCATTGTGAGCCCCTGACCCCAGGTTTTATGGCCAGTTGTGGCCAATGAGTGACAAGTGTCCCTTCTGCCCCCTCTGGAGGTAAAGTGTCAGACAATTGATCCATATATATGCTTCCCCTACACACACACACACACATACACACACACACACACTTTTGAAAGTGTTTTAGGCAAAGGACAGGATGAAGGTAGCACAAGAATGGGTCCCTAGATCTCTACGGAGGAGGATGGAAAGGTTATTTTTTTAGGAAATATGAAGCCAATGCAATTTGTATTTTAGAAGCATCCCTACTGTGGGATGGGTGCAGGAGCAGGTTAGAGATTTGTAGGCTATCGAGCTAGGGAGATGGGATGCAGGCTCTGGGGAGGGGGGAGGATGAAAAGCCAGGGTGCTGTCATTTTTGGCTTATGCGCTCTGTGGAGGGGACAAGGGTCTGAGTGTGATCTGAGACCAACCAGAGTGTGTGCAGCGTGGACACCCGTCAGGGCTGGAATCTAAGAGGGAGGGTGGAGGGGTCCATGCAGTCAAGAGACCCTAGACAGAGTGAGGAAGGGCAAGCAGAGGGAGAAGAGGAGGACTAGAGGGTACAGTAGGGGGCATCAGCAGGGCTAGGCAAGACCAGGACAGTGTCCCAGGAAGGTCTGGGGTGGCTAGGGGTGTCTGGGAGGTGCTGGGTGGTCTTCCTGGTGTCCCTGGGCAGTCCCTGGGTGGGGCAGGTGTGGGTAGGGAGCTTTGTGTGAACTTGTCCGGGGTCTCCCGGGCATGGGGCCCCGGCCCAGGACAGGTGTCCAGTCGAGTATCCTGATGCGGAGGTCGGTGACCCACCCGGTCCCGCTGGATCCACTGCAAGCCAGGGTCGCCCGACCATCTCTTCCCCCGGCCCGGCCTCCCATCTGTCCCCTGGGTCCCGGCCGCCCATCGGCCCCGCCTCGGCGTCCGGAAGCCCCTGGGGCCCAGAGCGGCTCGGCTCCCTCGCGGAGTCGGCTCCGGACGCGGCTCGCCGGGCAGCGATCGGGTGGCGGTGACGCGGGACCCGAGCAGGCGGGGCGGGGCGGGGCCTGAGCAGCCGCGGAGGCCGCGCTACGGAGCATCCTGGAGGAGGCGCCTGGCCACCGGGAGGTAACCGGCCGGGGCGGCGGGACGCCGGGGCGCTGGGCCGGGCTGGGGTCGGGCCTCTAAGCCTCCTGAGGAAGGCGGGGAGGGGGAGCCGAACGCTCGGAAGCCGCCGCCGCCGCCGCCGCCGCTGCGCGCGCGCGCGGGTGCTGGATGCGGGCCGGAAACGAGTGAGGGACGCGGCGGGGGCCGGGGACGCCAGAAGGGCGGGAGACCCGCAGGATGAGAAAGTGTGCGCGCGCGCGCGTGCGTGTGTGTGTGAGAGAGAGAACGCGCGCGCGCGCGCCGATGGTGGCTTTGTCACCGGCCGCGGCTGAGGTTTAGCGAAGGTCCTTGCCTTCCATCGCAGAGTAGAATCCACGGAGGGTGAGAAAACGTGGCAGAGCTTCACTGAGTAAACAGACAGACAGCAGACAGACAGACAGACACACTCTAGCGGAGTACCCGTGGTGCGTCCGCAGGGAGAGGCACAGCTCTTGGGGATTATGGGGGGGGCAGGGGGTCTGGCTGTACGAGTTACACGAAGCTGGGCGCTTTGTCTCTGCTCTGAGCACCCCTGGCATTATTTCTTTGACTTTCCTGGCTAAAAATGCCTCCAACAGATCCTGCCACAACGCGGATCGTTGTCCTTGAGCCCCTGAGGCGCCCTGCTAGCTGCCTTTTGGGGCAGGTGGCTTAAGTTTGACTTTTCTCAGGAAGACACACAAGTGTTCATTGTTGGGGGGCGAGGAATGCAGTCCTCAGGAAGGAACGCAAAGATGGCCCTTCTGTTATTTCTAAACACCCTAGTTCTGAGCTGCCTTCATTCACCAGGCCTCACTTGCCTGAAGTTATCCTGCTTCATTTCCCCCCAAAAGGACTTTTGTTCCCTTCATCTTCAGGGAAAGAATAGCTTTGCATTTCCTGTTTCCTGGTCGTACCTCATTTTCCCCCTAGGCTTCAGCTTTACTAGTGGGGGAGACCCTGAGTGTGTGTGTGGGGAGACTGTGTGTGAGGGGGGGAACTGTGTGTGAGGGGGGAGGGGGAGGGAGGTGGGGGTGGGGGTGGCTATTGAATGTGAGAGATCCTGAATTGGGAGAGGTGAAAGAGAGAGGGGAATAAAAATGGGTATGTGGGAGACTGGACTGGAGGAGACCCTGTATATGGGGGTGACCACGTGTGTGCGGAAGAGGAAACACCAGATTTGAATATGTGACTGACCAGGACTGAATATGTGAGACCCTGAGAGAGAGAGAGAGAGAGAATAAACTGGAGTGAAGGTGACTGTGGGGGGGACTGTAGTGTGAAAAAGGACTCATCTGGTGTGAGGGTCACTGAAAATGTGACCCCGAATGTGGGGAAGAACAGCGTGTGAGAGAAAGCCCGGGCAGTGAGGGTGACCCTGAATGTGAGCCACGTGTGTGAAAGAGGAAACACGTGGTGTGAGGGGACTGAGTGTGTTTGGGGAAAGGTGATTTGGGGTGGGGGGGAGAGCTTGTGTGTGAAAGAGGAAACACTGTCTTTTTCTTTTCTTTTCTTTTCTTTTTTGCTGCTCCTGTCACCGGATGGAGGTGAGGTTTAGTGAAGCTTCCCTTTAAATATAGAAACTCTTCACTTAGGGTTCTTGACTTCAATCATAGAATAAGAATAAGTCACAGTGGTAAGAAAACTTGGCAGAGCTTTATTGAGTACATAAACGAGGCAGACAGACAAAAAAGCAGACTGAAGGGCAGGGGCACACTCTGGCAGAGTATGGGTGCTCTCATAGGGAACATAGAGACACAAACACAGACACGTACACACACCCACCCACACAAGGAGAGACAGACATACACACATAAAGAGACAACCAGAGAGACACACATACAGCTCCTTGGACTGTTGGAGTATTTATAGGGTAAAGGCAGTGGGTCTGCCTTCAAGTTATGCAAAGCTAGGTTCTTTGTCTTTGCTCTAACCACACCTGGTGTGTTTCCACACCTGGTGTGTTTCCAGGTAAGAATGCATGTTGCCATAAAACAGGTCAGGTGCCCTGCTATCTGCATTTTGGGGCATCCTGTCAGTTAATCCTTGGGTGAGAAATGCATCCCTCAGTTGTCTCTCTTTGAAGCAAAAATAGCATTCTTAAGTTTCTAAGTATTTGAGTTGCATTCATCAGGCCTCCTTTTCTTAAGTTTATCCTGCTTGAACTCAGGGCTTGGGCTCTGTCACTGAGCTTCTTTTGCTCAAGGCTAGCACCTCTACCTCTTGAGCTCCACTTCTGGCTTTTTTTTATTATAGTTTAGTGGAGGTAAGAGTCTCAGATTTTCCTGCCTGGGCTGGCTTCAAACCATGATCCTTAGATCTCAGCCTCTGAGTAGCTAGGATTATACAGGTGAGTCACCAGTGCCCAGCTTTTCTTTCTCTCTTTTTTTTTCCTCTCTCTCTCTCACCCTCTCTTCCCCCCCCCAGGAGAGGGAGCACATGGCACTTGTCCCTATCCACTTAGTGGGAGGGTCTGGGGGCAGGAAGTAGGTGCTCAGGTAGATCTGGGCGGAGAGAGGGAGTGGCCAGCTGTAGGGCGGGAATTCTCGGGGCATAATGCTAACAATGGAAATTGAGTGTATGGGAGACCTTGAGTGTGCGGGAGACCACACGTGTGAAAGCGGAAAAAGAAAACAAAGGGTATGAGAGGACTGTGTGTGAGACCCTGAGTGAAGGCCATGGCCAGTGCGAGGGAGACAGAGTGGCCTTGAGTGAGAGTCTGACTACCATATTCTATAATGGTCAATAATTAGGAATCAGCATCTCATTTCATAGATGTCTTAGGGGAACTTCTCCTGGGCACTGGGCTATGTCCTTGGTGATACAGTTAAAAAGAATTCAGTCTCTGCCCTTGATCAGGGTGAAAAAACCTACTGCCATAGCCAGCTAATGTAACAGCATCATGGCAGAACGCAGCCAGACATCTGTTACCTTCTTTCTGGGATGCTGCTCCCCTGTTTGAAGATCTAGGAGCCGTGGACTTAAATCTGTAACTGCTTCCTAAGAGCCTTTTCACCTCTTTGCCTGTCCTTCAGGAAATGGCCCAGGCTGTCTATATTACTAAGGTCCCATTGTGATTGTACATGGATGGCTTTTGCTTCCTGACTGAAGTCTCAGACATTACATGACTTGTTATATTTGCTACTTCTTTCAAGCCTAGTTCCCAGTATCTCCCTCACCTGTACCTCCTTCCTTTATTTGGCTGTGGATGTATTTTTATTATAGACCAAAAAAGTGTATTCCAATTAAGTGACCTATCTTCCTGGAACTTATTTTTTTTTTTTTTTTGTTGGTCGTGGGGCTTAAACTCTATGCCTGGGCGCTGTCCCTCAGCTCTTCAGCTCAAGGCAGGTGCTCTACTTTATTAGCCACAGTGTCACTTCTGGTTTTCTGAGTGGTTTATTGGAGTCTCAAGGAGTTTCCAGCCTGGACTGACTTTGAACTGCGATTCTCAGATCTCAGTCTCCTGAGTAACTAAGATTATAGGCGTGAGGCACCAATGCCCAGCTTTTTTTTTTTTTTTTTAATGTTAGTTCTGGGGCTTGAACTCCGGACCTAGATGCTGTCCCTGAGCTCTTTTTGCTTAAGGCTGGTGCTCTACTACTTTGAGCCATAGACCCAATTCTGGTTTTGAGTGGTTAATTGGAGATAAAAGTCTTATTGTGACTTTTCTACTTCTACTCAGGCTGGCTTTTAACCATGATCCTCAGGTCTCAGCTTCCTGAGTAGTTAGGATTATATGTGTGAGCCATCAGCAGCCGGCTCCCTGGAACTTTTGGCAGAAGAAAATTCTACAAAAGTTAAGCAATGATGTGCTCATGAGCCACAAGGTCCTGGAACAACTAGCTGCCTTAACATGCATGATTTGAAATTTTCAAGCTCTTTCTGATATATTTGAGTTGATTACTTCAGTCATACGCCCTGTGGATATGATGGAACTCAGCAGTTGAGGGCTTATAAATTTAGATTTTACAAAGGGAAATGACCATTTTGCTGCTTACTAGATCCATTTTTTCTCTCTCTCTCTTTTTTTGGCAGGTTACACCTATTCTTTGTTGCAAATTAAATGGCCAAAACAGACAAGTGGAATTAGCCCTTGCTGTAGTGAATTCGTTTTCTTCTCAGAATTGACCCATTTATGATGAAGTGGCCTATAAGAGTGTGATTTTTACTTATTTGGTGGCAGGTGAGTATCATTGCTGTCTTTATTGACTCTTTTTGGCCTTTGTGATTTATAAAACTTATTAATCAGGCGCCAGTGGCTCACGCCTGTAATCCTAACTACTCAGGAGGCTGAGATCTAAGGATCACAATTCAAAGCCAGCCCAGGCAGGAAACTCCGTGAGACCCTTATGTCCAATTAACCACCAGAAAACCAGAAGTGGAGCTATGGCTTGGTAGAGCGCTTGCCTTGAGCTGAAGAGCTCAGGGACAGTGCCCAGGCCCAGGTTCAAGCCTCAAGACCAACCAAAAAACAAAGCAAAACAAAAAAACTTGTTATCTGCATATGAACACAACACTAGTAAAAATAGATGGCTTAAGCCAGCACTGGTGACTCACACCTATAGTTCTAGCTACTTAAGAGGCTGGGATCTGATGATGGAGGTTTGAAGCCAGCCCAGGTAGGAAAGTCCAGGAGATTCTTATCTCCAATTAATCATAGAAAAAGCCAAAGTGGCACTGTGGCTTAAATGGTAGAGTGCTTGCCTTGAGCAAAAGGAATTCAGGGACAGTGTCTAGGCCTAGTTCAAGCCTCAGTACCTGCAAAAGAAAAAAAAATAGCTTACATTAGTTATGTATCAGTATTAATGTTATATAACACTGTAATTTTATTGTTGTTCTTGTTATTATTATTTGTGGGTCCTGGGGCTTAAACTCAGGGTTTGGGCACTATTCCTGAGCCTCTTGTGCTCAAAGCTCAGGCTTTACCACTAGAGCCACAGCACCACTTCTGGCTTTTTCTGAGTAGTTTACTGAGATAAGAATCTCATGGACTTTCCTGCCTCAGCGGTTTTGAACCTTGATCCTCAGATCTCAGCCTCCTGAGTTGCTAGGATTAAGAAGTGGTCTACCAGTACTCAGCTCTGTAGTTTACAATGTACATTATTATTTGTGGTTGTAGGGCTTGAACTCAGGGCCTGGTGCTGTCCCTGAGTCTCTTTGTACTCAAGGTTAGCACTCTTACCACTTGAGCCACAGTGCCAAACCGGTTTTTGAGTGGTTAATTGGACGTAAGAGTCTCATGGGGATTTTTCTGCCTGGGCTGGCTTTGAACCACAATCCTCAGATCTCAGCCTCCTGAGTACTATATAAATATTATAATGTATAAATAAAGTATATCTTTAGATCTCTTCCTAAAGAGTACTTGCCAGAGTGAAAAAAAATTGCAAAGAGCTATTGTGACTACATTATAGTTTTGAATTCATTTGTATCAGTCACAAAGTGCTACCTATTCCTCAAAATAAATCCATAATCCAGCTTTCTTTTCTTATTTTTATTTCCTTTTTTTTTTCTTTTTAAATTGAGTCTTATACAGCTAAGACTACCCTCAAACTTAAGATTGTCCTGGTGTAATCTTCAGAGTGCTGGGATAATAGGTGAGTACTATTGTGCCCCTCTTTCTAGCTTTCTCTCTCCCTTTCTTTCTCCCTTTCTCTCTCCCTCCCTTCCTCCCTTCCTCCATTCCTTCCTTCCTTCCTTCTTTCCTTCCTTCCTCTGTGTGTGTGTGTGTGTGTGTATGTGTGAACTCAGGGCCTTGAGCTCTTACTTTAGATTTTTTTGGTTCAAATCTGATTCTCTACCACTTGAACTACACCTTGTTAGGTTTTTAAAAAGAGGTAGCCGAGTAAGAACAGCACCACGCACATGGTATTCAGGTAAAGGGTAGGTTTATTCAGTAGACCTGCTGGGACCAGGCCAGGTTGGCAGCTGGCAAAGAGGGCGTCTCCTCTGGTCCTGGGTTAGGCCTTATCTAGGGTAGGGGTGGGGAAAGGTGTGGCCAAGTAAAGGGAAGTGGGACCGGATAAGAGGAGGTGGCACCCGGTTGGAGAAAGGTGTGGCCACATCAGATCCATCTGTGATTTCACTGGATTCGGATGTGACCTCTTCCAGGTATCCCAGTTGCCTAGGTAACCCAGGTACTGGGCAGGGTCTGCTTGCCATCCAGGAATGGACCTTACACACCTCCAATTTCAACTTTTTACTTGTTAGAGATAAGAGTCTTTTGGATTTGTCAAAGTTGGTTTTGAACCTTGATCCTTAGATCTCAGCCTCCTAAATAGCTAGGATTACAGGCATGGGACACCCACACCAGGCTTTGAGTGACTGCCTGCCTGCCTGCCTGCCTGCCTTCCTTCCTTCCTTCTTTTTTTTTTTTTTTAGGTCCGGTTGTGGGACCTGAACTCTGGGCCTGGGCGCTGTCCCTCAGCTCTTCAGCTCAAGGCTAACCCTCTACCACTTGAGCCACAGTGCCACTTCCGGCTTTTTCCTTTGTGCTTATGTGGTGCTGAGGAATAGAACCCAGGGCTTCATGCATGCAAGGCAAGCGCTCTACCACTGAGCCACCTTCCCAGCCCCTTCTTTCTTTTTTTTTTTTTTGTGATAAGGTCTTATAGCCCAGGCTGGCCTCAAGCTATACACAAGCTGTATAAGTCGTTAATCACAGTTTATCTTTAAATAATATTACATTGCTTCACATGTAATAAAAGAACCTTACAACAGCATTCTCTCAAGTCTTCCTATTCTTTGTGGTATTGGTACTATTTTTTCCTTTAAGTATCAGTTGTATTTTAAAGCAGTTAAAGACACATAATAGTGTTTAGTGATTTTTTTTTTTTTTTGCCAGTCCTAGGGCTTGAACTCAGGGCCTGGGCACTGTCTCTGAGTTTCTTTTGCTCAAGGCTAGCACTCTACTACTTGAGGCACAGTACCACTTCTGGCTTCTCTGTTTATGTGGTACTGAGATGTCGACTCTAAGGCTCCATGCATGCTAGGCAAGCACTTTACCACTGACCTCCCAGCTCTACATAATGTTTTATATTTACCTTGGACCATTTGATATTGTCCTATATCTCTTAAATATTGTGTCCTGTTTTACTTTTGCTTTTTTCCATTTTGTTTTATTTATTTTTATTTATTTATTTATTTATTTTGGGTCTGGTCCTGGGGCCTGAACTCTGGGCCTGGGCGCTGTCCCTCAGCTCTTCAGCTCAAGGCTAGCGCTCTACCACTTGAGCCACAGCGCCACTTCTGGCTTTTTTCTTATGTGGTGCTGAGGAATCGAACCCAGGGCCTCAGGCATGTAAGGCAAGTGCTCTACCACTGAGCCAACTTCCCAGCCCTCTTTTCTTTTTTCTTATGTGGTGCTAAGGAATCAAACCCAGGGCCTCATGCATGCAAGGCAAGCTATACCACTGAGCCACCTTCCCAGCCCCTCCATTTTGTTTTAAATAGTTTTCTTCTGCTAAAATTCCACATTTTTTCCCCACCTTACTTTTAATGTACTAATTATAGTTATTTTATTTCTAATTTTTGGATGTTGTTGGGATTGAAAAAGAACGTTTTATTAGACGAGGATCTTGTTATGTTGCTTAGGTTGGTTTCAAGCTCCTGGCTCAAGCAAATCCTCCACCTCAGCCTTGTTAAGTACCTGAGACCACAAGTGTGCAACACAGGTCTTGACTCCTCATTAAAAAAAATTTTTTTTTGTTATCTTCCTTCCTTCCATCCATCCTTCCTTTCTTTCTTTTTTTTTTGTCGGTCATAGATCTTGAACTCTGGGCCTGGCCGCTGTCCCTGCGCTCTTCAGCTCAAGGTGAGCACCCTACCTCTTGAGCCACAACGCCACTTCCAGTTTTCTGGTGGTTTATTGGAGATAAGAATCTCACAGAGGAAGTAGTGCTGTGGCTCAAGTGGTAGAGTGCTCACCTTGAGCTGAAGAGCTGAGGGACAGCGCCCAGGCCCAGAGTTCAAGCCCTGCAACTGACCAAAAAAAAAAAAAAGAAAAGAAACAAGACTTTGGGGCTGGGAAGGTGGCTCAGTGGTAGAGTGCTTGCCTTGCATGCATGAGGCCCTGGGTTCCATTCCTAAGTACCACATAAGCAGAAAAAGCCAGAAGTGGCGTTGTAGCTCAAGTGGTAGAGTGCTAGCCTTGAACTAAAGAGCTGAGGGACAGCGCCCAGGCCGAGTTCAGGCCCCACGAACAACAACAACAACACCAAAAAAACAAAAAGAATCTCACAGACTTTCCTGCCTGGGCTGGCTTTGAACCAAGATCCTCAGATCTCAGCCTCCTGAGTAGGTAGGATTACAGGTGTGAGCCACTGGCACCTGGCTTACCTTGCCTCTTGATAGTAGTTTTCTCTCTGTGTGTGTGTGTACTATTGCTTGTAACAGGTTATTGAATGCTGGACTTTGTATATAGAACAGAAGACTGAGCTATCTATTCATTCTGGGGAATAAATTCTTTTGTTAGTTTGTTGGTTAGGGAGTTTGAGCCCATGAGAAGAGTTCTGTTTGGGTTTTGTTGTTGCTGTGGTTACCTTAGGTAAACCTTGCTTCAGATCCCTCTTGTAATTCCTTTATAACCCTCTTGGGTTTAGGGTTGCTTTGCTTTGCTTGGGGGAAGACTTTTTCTCAGTGTTTATACTCTGCCCTTGGCTTTAGTTCTTTTCCATGCACAGTCTACCACACTCTGGCAGGCTGCCATTGGTTATTCCTGGATGCTTGCCAACATGATGGTGGGGAGCCGAGAAGTTCTCTCTGGTTCAGCCTCAGTCTTGGGAAGTTTTCTTGAGTCTTCAGGGTAGAACTTTTTGGGTGATTCTCTCTCCTAGATAGAAGATACCTCTAATGGTCTTGAGCAGAATTTCCTGCCTCTTCCCACCTTTCCACTCTCCCAAACATAAAGGGTTTGTCCAATTTTCTCTGGTTATGTTCTTTTACCCTGTTCTAGTGACAGAGTTTGCTAATATTTTTTCAGGGCTTTGTAATTTTTTGTTCTTTAAAGGAGAAGGGTTTGGGCAGACCTTTGCATTTTCTTCTTCCAGGGCCAGCACTACTGAGGAGGATTTTTTTCTTGTTTCCTGCCCAGTGTTTCCTGTGAGTAACTACTGAGTCTGTGGAGAAAAACCTCAGTGTCTGTGGTTTTTGTTAACCTGAACCTGACCTTTAGTAGCTTATTAAAATTGCACTTGAATTCTTACCCACCTCTATGGTAGTCTTTTACCTAGTGCCATGAGAAAGCCAAACCTTGCATTTCTTTCTCCTTGAGGGTGCCTGTGTTTCCTTCTTTTGTTTTTCTTTTTTTCTTTTGCTGCCTTGAACTCAGGGCCTTTTGTTTATTTGACTTGTTTGTTATGTTGGCATTCTACCACTTGAGCCATGTCTCTAGCTTGTTTGTTGTTTTTTTTTTTTGGTCGGTCATGGGGCTTGAACTCTGGGCTTGGGCACTGTTCCTGCACTCCTCAGCTCAAGGTGAGTGCTCTACCACTTGAGCCACAGTATCATTTCCAGTTTTCTGAGTGGTTTATTGGAGATAAGAATCTCATGGACTTTCCTGCTTGGGCTGGCTTTGAACCACAATCCTCAGATCTCAGTCTCCTGAGTAGCTAGGATTACAGGCGTGAGCCACCTGTGCCCTGCTCTAGCTTGGTTTTTGCTAGTTAGTTTGGAAATGGAGTCTTGTGGACTCTTCTGTCCCCAACTGGTTTTGAACTTCAATCTTAGGGATCTCATCCCCAATAAGTAACTAGGATTACAGGCATGAGCCACTGGTACGTTATACTTTACATATATTTTATACTGTATTTAATCTTCTAGTGAAATGAACTTTTAACTCTTTTCTTTCCTCTAATTCTTCCGTGCTTCCAGAATTTGTCTCCCAGCAACATTAACCCTGGTAAGGAACAGTTCACATTTTATCATAGTTTCATGTTGTCCAATTTAATGTAAAAGGTCAGTACAGTGGCTGGGAAGGTGGCTTAGTGGTAGAGTGCTTGCCTAGCATGCATGAAACCCTGGGTTTGATTCCTTAGTACCACATACACAGAAAAAGCCAGAAGTGGTGCCATGGCTCAAGTGGTAAGAGTGCTAGCCTTGAGCAAAAGAAGCTCAGAGATAGTGCCCAGGCCCTGAGTTCAAGCCCTAGGTGAAGCCGGGTGCTGGTGGCTCACACCTGTAATCCTAGCTACTCAGGAGGCTGAGATCTGTGAATCATAGTTCAAAGCCAGCCTCAGCAGGAAAATCCATGAGACTCTTTATCTCCAACAAACCACTAGAAAACCGGAAGTGATGCAAACTGGGAAGAGCCGAGGTCAGAGAAAGGTGGGATCTAGCTAGCTTGTGATCTCATGTCTTTCTACAAGGACATGGTCTACTTTTCTGTGTTCTCAGCACAGAGTCATACGATGTAGGTGCTTGGCACCTGTCTCTGCTTGTGGAGTTTAAATATAGAGGAAAGGTGTGGAGTTGTGTGACCAAGCTATTGTGGGACTTGGCTGTTTGGCCTTAGGGAACTTGCTAGTGTTATATCACCTGCTGCTCTTGTTGTCAAAGAACAATTTTAATTACTTTGGCCTAGTGGTAACCACTTTATCAAATGAGGAGAAAGAATCCTCAGTTGCTCTTACTTAGGACTCCTGGGCTGGAGGAGGAATCTTTTCTAAACTTTAGCAAGAGCCTTGTTTCTCATATAGATAAGAAGTCTGCATGTCCAAGACTGCCACTGCGCAGTGTATCAGACAGCTGTAAACAAATTACACGTGAGATGAAGGAATCGCTGACCTCCCCCATCTAAGGTCTGAGAGAAGTAGGGAAGTTGGAGTGGCCACTTGGGCCACTGTGTTGAGTTAGGTAGAAAAAGGCAATCTAGATCTCTTTGCATATGACTCAACGTGAGAATGAATAAACAGTTAGGGAGCTGGTTACTGGATTTGTTCCCACAGATGCCTGAGCTCACCTGACAGGACATGTGAATACAAATATACTTCCACATGCCTGCACAGAGAAACCTGCATGGCTTGAGCCCAGCCTCATCTAAGCAGGTGTAAATAGACTCAGCTCTCCTGGGACCAGGGAAGGCTACCAGTGTTCCAGTGGAGTTTTGTCATGGGGCTTGAACTCCTGGCTTGGGCGCTGTCCTTGTGCTCTTCAGCTCAAGGCAAATGCTCTACCCCTTGAGCCACAGCGCCACTTCCGGTTTTCTAGTGGTTTATTGGAGATAAGAGTCTCATGGACTTTCCTGCATGGGCTGGTTTTGAACCGTGATCCTCAGATCCTTAGATCTCAGATCTCTAGGATTACAGGTGTGAGCCACCGGCGCTCAGCCCCAGTGGAGTGTTTTTCACTTGGGTTGAGGTTCAGACTCTGGAAGGGTATTCAGTACATGTAAAGCAGGAATTTTGGGTGGGGGGCTGTGGAGATCAGAGTTTTCAAGAACTACTCACTCTCGGGGCTGGGAAGGTGGCTCAGTGGTAGAGCGCTTGCCTTGCATGCATGAGGCCCTGGATTCGATTCCTCAGCACCACATAAGCAAAAAGAAAAAAGCCAGAAGTGGCGCTGTGGCTCAAGTGGTAGAGCGCTAGCCTTGAGCTGAAGAGCTGAGGGACAGCGCCCAGGCCCAGAGTTCAGGCCCCACTACCGGACCCTCCCCCCCAAAAAAAGAACTATTCACTCTCAAGTGACAGAAGCTCTGAACTTGTTCTGAGCTCTCTGAGATCAGAATCGGGGACATATATCTTTGGTGAGTAGAGAAGAGGATTCTGGGAATATTGATGTATTGATCACATTCTTATTCCTGGAAGGTATCCCTTTGACTGTCAAGGAGTGACTCCTGGGTGAGACTCACACAGCTCACCATATTCCTTTCTCCAGAAGATGAGATGGGTTTGATGAGTCTGATACATAGGAAGGAACTGAGGGAGAAAGCCACAATGGGATATAGGGTCAAGAAAGTTCTTGTCTTCCTCTGACAGATTTTGGATCCTTCATGGGTAGATTACTGTGGGATCTAACTTTCTTGAGGTTTCTAGATTAACCTCCCATCCAAAGGTGGCAGGTTTGTGTCTGCCATCTCCCTACAGTGTGCTTTCCAATGCCTATGCTTTCCAATATCTATGGCCAAGAGAAGCCTGTGGCTTTGGTTGGGTTCTGGAGTAGTGTTGTGGGAGAATCTCTTTGTAGCCCAGGGTAATAGTGAGGAGTGTGCTGATGAAGACTGAAACAAATGAGACCATAACGACTTAGTCTCAGATTAGGATACCCTGTGGATGTCCTTTCTCCTTCTTTTCTTATTCTGTAATCTTCTTTCTTTTGGGTATTTGGGCAAAGTATTGGTTGTGCTAGAACAATGTGGAGAGTAAAATAGGTGTGTGAGTGTGTGACATTTGGCTATGCATTTTCATAGAGGACCTCCTTTTGGTCATCTCTGTAATAGTGATATGATATATATTCTTTTCTTCCTTTCTTTCTTTTTTGTCAGTCATGGGGCTTGAACTCAGGGCCTGGGTGCTGAGCTCTTTTTGCTCAAGGGTAGCGCCCTGCCACTTTGTACAATAGCACTACTTCCAGTTTTCTGGTGGTTAGCGATAAGAGTCTCATGGAGTTTCCAGTCCGGGTTAGCTTTGAACTCTAATCCTCAGATCTCAGCCTCCTGAGGAGCTAGAATTATTGGCGTGAACCACTAGCACCCAGCATGACATGATTCTTATTAGAAATTCTCACCAGATCATGCCTTACCTCTGTTTTTTTTTTTTTGCTAGTACTGGGGCTTGAACTCTGAGCTTGGGCACTGTCCCTGAGCTTCTTTTGCTCAAAGCTAGCACTCTACCACTTGTCACAGTGCCACTTCTGGCTTTTTCTGCTTATGTAGTACTGAAGAATCAAACCCAGAGCTTCATGCATGCTAGGCACTCTACCACTAAGCCACCTTCCCAGCCCAGATCATGACTTAAATCATTATATTTTTTTTCCAGGAGCAGTGGAGATCTGCCTGCCTTCATTTTCCCTGTGCCTTGAAGTGGGAACTGAGGCATATTGATTACATGTGTGGCAAGCTATCCCTAAGGAGACCCCTCACCAGCAACTGACTTAGACTGGACATACTAGTTTTCTTTGCCAGGCCACAGAAAATACAAGCATATAGTAACCATTTGCTATGGAAGCCCGGGAGCATGGGGGACCTGCCCCTACCTACCACCTCCTCACCTCAGCTAGCCAGCCCAGGATGGAAGAGGATGTCAGCTTGCCATCTAGAGAGAACTCAGAAACTGTGCAGCTGAAGAAGGAAATCTCCTTGCTGAATGGGATCAGCCTGGTGGTGGGCAACATGATTGGCTCAGGGATCTTTGTCTCACCCAAAGGAGTATTGGCACACACGGCCTCCTATGGCTTGTCACTAGTTGTCTGGTCCATTGGTGGACTCTTCTCTGTTGTGGGTGCCCTTTGCTATGCAGAGCTGGGGACCACCATTACCAAGTCAGGGGCTAGCTATGCTTATATTCTAGAGGCCTTTGGGGGCTTCATTGCCTTCATCCGCCTGTGGGCCTCACTGCTAATTGTTGAGCCCACCAGTCAGGCCATCATCGCCATCACCTTTGCCAACTACATCATCCAGCCCTCCTTCCCCACGTGTGATCCCCCCTATGTGGCCTGCCGTCTTCTTGCTGCTGCCTGCATCTGTAAGTATGAGGGCTGGGTGTAGGAGAAAGTGAGGAGGGGTAGGATGCTGTGATAATTGTGTGGGTGTCATTTATTTGAAGAGCATGCTTTTGTTCTTTTGGGAGGAGGGAGCTGTCTTACTGTTTGAAGATGTCATTTCACCAAAGTTGTTTGGTCTTGAGAGAGAAATAAGCATAAAGGATGGGGAAGGGAGAAGTCTGAATCTGTTCGTGGCTGTCCCTGAAATCTGTTCCCTACTCTGTGTGACAAATTGGTACACAGCTCATATATGTTTTGTCATGTTTTTAGTTAGATTTGTTTTGTGTTTTCTCTCTGTGTGTGTGTGTGTGTGTGTGTGTGTGTGTGTTGGTTCTGGGATTTGAACTCAGGACCTGGGCACCCTCCCTGAGGTATTTTTCTCAAGGCTAGAGTTATACCATTTTGAGCCACAGCATCACTTCTGGTTTTTTGGTGGTTAATTGGAGATAAGAGTCTCACAGATTATCCTGCCTAGGTTGACTTTGAACTTCAATCTTCAGATCTCAGCTTACTAAGCTGTTTAGATTAAAGGTCTGAGCCACCAGTGCCTGACTTAGGGTGTGTGTGTGTGTGTGTGTGTGTGTGTGTGTGTGTGTGTGTGTGTGCGTGTGTGCGTGTGTGTGTGTGCGTGTGCATTTGTCGATCATGGGGCTCTACCACTTTGAGCCACAGCTCTACTTTGGCTTTTGAGTGGTTAATTGTAGATAAGAGTCTCAGGGAACTTTTCTGCCTGGGCTGACTTGGAGCCCTGATCCTCAGGTATCAGCCTCTTGAATAGCTAGGATTATAGGCAGGAGCCACTGGTGACTGGCTAGTCAGTGTTTTGATTGGTGCCAGTATCATTACTTATAACTTAGCAAAGAAAAAATAATAATGTTGAGACTTTTATTCTGCTGAAAAGAACAAGTAGAGGTGGGGTGATGGTGGGGTGGTGGAGGTAGTAGTGTTTTACCTCCAAGCTATTCGTCATAAGCCTGTTTAAAGGCATCAGTGAGGAAGTAGACTTCTCTAGACTATGGGGGTCTGGAGGGGGGCAGTTCTAAAGCTTTATGCCTTAACTTACAGGACCCTTCTTTCCTGTCACTGTCATTCTTTGTGTTCTATTCTAAGCAGCAGGCAGCATACCAAAATGGCTTTTATCCATTGATGTTTCAGATTTCTTTAAGCTTAATTTGTAAACAAGCTCTTCAAAAAAAGAACAGCCAGTAAGAGGAAGGTAGCTTCCATACCACATTTAGTCTTCTGGTAACAGCCTGAGAGATTCCAGTAGATCCCTATTTTCCTTTCCCTCTTATGAGGTAGAAAAGAGAGTTTCTAGGTGAAATGACAAAAAGGAGAGATTACTGTGAATTTAATCTAGCCATGCAGAACTAGTGCTTAAGTGAGCCTAGAATTCCCTGTATTCCTTAGCACTGTGTTGCCAGAGGCACTTGATTATACTGTTCGCTTTTTATCTCTGCTTGCAAAAACTTTGGCTGCACATATAGTTTATCCACAAGACTAAAAATAGACGGAGGGAGCCGGGCACTGGTGGCTCACCTGTAATCCTAGCTACTCAGGAGGCTGAGATCTGAGGATCGAGGTTCAAAGCCAGCCAGGGGAAGAAAGTCTGTGAGACTCTTATCTCCAATAAACTACTCAGAAAAAACCCAAAGTAGCATTATGGCTCAAGTTGTAGAGCACTAGCTTTGAGCACAAAGAGGCTTAGGGACAGTGCCTAGGCCCTGAGTTCAAGCCCCAGGACCAGCAAAAAAAAATAAACTGATGGTACTTTAGAGTTAGCAATAAAGAATTGTTTATTATTATTATTATTCCAATCCTGGGGCTTTACTACTAAGCCACATTTCCCAGCCCAATAACTGTACATTATACTATGCCTCTTGACTTTAAGGATTTAAAAAAATATGCAAAAAGTGAAAGGGAAACAAATAATCCTGGAAGGAAGAAGAAAAGTGTGTGGATAGCTAGGTGTCTCATGGGCTTTGGCCAGTGTGATTCTAGTCTCACTAAATGCTTAAAAGGAAACTAATCTTGTGATGATGATAGAATATGTACATCAAGGTATTGGAGGTGTGGTTCAGTTGGTAGAGCACTAGTCAGTGAATGAAAGTGGCAAGTACTGAGTTTGAGTCCCTGTCTTGGGCCTAAAAAGATATGTTCATCAAGGAGAAAACTTAAATACTCTCAAATCTACCTAAGATGAGTGTGGGGGGGGAAATGATGGTGGCTTCATGCATGCGAGGCAAGCACTCTACCACTAAGCCACATTCCCAGCCCCAACTTTTTTTTTTTTGGTCAGTCTTTTGTTATGGGGGAATGAACCCTGGACATTGTACTTGCTAGGCAAGCGCTTTGCCACTGAGTTGCTCTGCTTTATTTATTTATTTATTTTTTGTTGTTGTTTTGGGTCCGGTTGTGGGGCCTGAACTCTGGGCCTGGGCGCTGTCCCTCAGCTCTTCAGCTCAAGGCTAGCGCTCTACCACTTGAGCCACAATGCCACTTCCTTCTTTTTTCTTTTTGCTTATGTGGTGCTGAGGAATCGAACCCAGGGCCTCAGGCTTGCAAGGCAAGCGCTCTACCACTGAGCCATCTTCCCAGCCCCTTGCTTTATTTTTTTTGTGGTTACAGTACTATGGCTTGAACTAAGGGCCTTGTGCTTTGTGCTCTGGCTTCCTTTCTTGCTCATGGATGGTCTTCTACTACTTGAGCCGTATCTTCAATGCTTTATACTGGTTTTTAATTTTATTGTTTTTTATTTATTTTTGTAGGTACTAGTGCTTTAATTCAGGATCTTGTACTCTCTTGTGACATGACTGGTGTTCTACTGCTCCAGCCCAGTTTTTTTTTTTTTTTCTAGTTAATTAGAGATAGTGTCTCAGGGCTTTTCTGCTCAGGCTGAACTTCAGTCTTCAGATCTCAGCCCCCTGAATAGCTAGAATTTCAGACTTGAGCCACTGGCTCAGGGGTCTTCTGGTTTTGTGTGTGTGTGTGTGTGTGTGTGTATGTATGTGTGTGTCATTTGAACTTAGGGCCTAAGTGCTGTCCCTGAGCTCTTTTTCCCTTAAGACTAGTGCTCACTTGAGCCATAGTGCTACTTCTGAGTTTTGCGTGGTTAATTGGAGATAAGAGTCCCTGGCTGGCATTGAACTGCAATCCTCAAATCTTAGCCTCCTGAATAGCTGGGATTATAGGTGTGAGCCACTGGTGCTTAGCTGATATTCTTCTTCTTAAATATAGTACACCACTCTACCCCTACTCTTATTTCATGAAATGTTCTTCAAGAGCAATATTTTAAAGTTCTTTTCTGCCTGGACTGGCTTTGAGCCAAGATCCTCCAGATCCCATCTTCCTGAGTAACTAGAATTATAGATGTGATCCACTGTCATCTTGCTAAAATGAGATTTCAGATTGCTGCCTAGCTGAAAAGATTGTTATGAGGAATAACTGAATCAATATGTATATAAGTGCTTCTTCCTATCTGATACATACTAAGTGCTTTATAATGTTATTTTTATAAATAATGCTGTTGTGATGATCTATGCATATAAATTATTCTAGAATATCTGCATATTTCTTAGGATAAAATTAAACAAGGGGAATCCTTGTGTCCAAGGGGATAAAGACACTCAAATCAAAGGACACGGATGTGTATGATTTTTTATTTGTTGATCATGGGGCTTGAACTCAGGGCCTGGATGCTGTCCCTGAGCCTCTTTGTGCTCAAGGCTAGTACAAGGATACCACTTGAGCCACAGTGCCACTTCTGGCTTTTTCTTTCTTTCTTTCTTTTTTGTCAGTCGTGGGGCTTGAACTCTGGGCCTGGGCGCTGTCCCTCAGCTTTCAGCTCAAGGCGAGCGCTCTACCACTTGAGCTACAGTGCCACTTCTGGTTTTCTGGTGGTTTATTGGAGATAGGAGTCTCACGGTCTTTCCTGCCCTGGCTGGCTTCAAATTGTGATCCTCAGATCTCAATCTCCTGAGGAGCTAGGATTATAGGTGTGAACCACTGGCACCTTGTGCATATGATTCTTTTTATTTTCCCCTTTTCTTTATTTTTTGTCAATCATGGGGCTTGAACTCTGGGCCTGGGTGCTGTCCCTGAGCTCTTCAGTTCAAGGTGAGTGCTCTACCACTTAAGCCACAGCACCACTTCTGGTTTTCTGATGGTTAATTGGAGATAAAAGTCTCATGGTCTTTCCTGCTGGCTTTGAACCATGATCCTCAGATCTCAGCCTCCTGAGTAGCTAGGATTACAGGCATCAGCCACTGGTGCCCAGCTTGGCTGATTTTTAACAAATAAGAAATTTAATTTAATTTTCATTTGTTAAACCCTTTTTACTTGGTGGTGGTGGTGGTGGTGGTGGTGTGTGTGTGTGTGTGTTGGTCCTGGGGCTTGAATTCAGGGCCTGGGACTGTCCCTGAGCTTTTTTTGCTCAAGGACTCTACCATTTTTTTGCTCAAGGACTCTATCATTTGAGCCACAGTTTTGGCCTTTGGGTGGTTAAGTGGAGATGAGTTTCATGAACTTTTCCTGCCCAGGCTGGCTTTGTACTATGATCCTCCTGAGTAGCAAGGATTACAGGTGTGAGCCACTGATTGGTATCTAGCTCTAGCTCTACTTTCTCTTCATTTCCTTCTTTCTTTGTTTCTTTCTTTCTTTTTCTTTCTTTCTTTCTTTCTTTCTTCCTTCCTTCCTTCCTTCCCTCCCTCCCTCCCTCCCTCCCTC